ACACTGGGGTATGCTGTATGAAGGCAAAGAATAAGGTCCTCAACAATTACTTAAGATATTGAGAGTAATTTGGTAGGAGATTCATATGGGTTTGTGGTTTTTAACCAAAAAGCAGTCAAGGGATGGGAATGTGGTTTAGCAAAAGAGCTCTTGTGTGTATGTGTGAAGCCCTGGGTTCAAATCTTGGAACCTGAGCACACAACAGCACACATATACACCACATTCTCTCTCTCTCTCTCTCTCTCTCACACACACACACACACACACACACACACACTCATGCTTTAAAAAAGAATCTTTTTTGCTTTATTATATATATATTTATTTTTTATTGAATTATTGTGAGATAGACCCTTACAAAGCTGTTCATGATTAGGTCTCAGTCATACAGTATTCCAACACCCATCTCTCCACCAGTGTACATTTCCCAGCACCATTGTCCCCACGTTCCCTCCCATCACCCCCTACCCCCTGCCTGCTTCTATGGCAGGTTCTCTCTCTCTCTCTCTCTCTCTCTCTCTCTCTCTCTCTCTAACATACACACTCATGAATAAAAAAAAGAAAAGGATTTTCATGGGAAATGTGCCTTGTCAATCTGGGGAAGGTGCTATTGAAGCAGCAGCCCCTTAGTTACTGTAGAATCTGCTCAACCAGCAACAGGTAGCAATTTTTCATGATCCATTTTGGATAAGACTGATTTTAGAGTCATAATTTAAGTAAAAAAAAAAAAAAGAAAGAACACTCTTTTGGTAGAAAGATGCATTCCAAAAGCTGTTTAATTGGCTTGAGCAAGTTAAATGTGTTTGCTGGTAAAAGCTGGCCAGATCTGGCTTAAATGTGTTCAGACATAGAGGAGCCCCCTGCCAGCCCCACCCCTATTTGAGGAGCCTGGGGGCTGTGGCTGGGTCAGGTCTGTGTGGGGGAAGTAATAGGTGGGGGCAGGAAGAAGGTGGGCAGCTCTGTGCAGGGATGGGTCATCTCCCTTTGGGCCTCTCAGTGATGTGGGTTCTGTGGGAGAGTGCCCTAATTGCCAAAACCGAGGCTGTAAAAGTTTCATGTTCCCACTCTTTTTTCTCGTTCATTCAACTCTTAAGTTCTTTGATTTTCTTTCACTCTGCTTTGTACTTTTTAAAAATTTTTATTATTGAAACACCATGAGGTACAGTTGTAGACTTACAAATTTTGTGCTTGGGTTTCAGTTATACCCATCCCTCCACCAGTGCCCATTCTCCACCACCACTGATCCCAGTATCACTCCCACCCCCCATCCCCCCCACCCCACCCTGCCTCTGTGGCAGGGCATTCCCTTTTGTTCTCTCTCTCCTTTTGGGTGCTGTGGTTTGCAAGAGAGGCATTGAGTGGCAATCATGTTCGGTACTTTTCAGAATGAGATCACAGCAGCATTAATGATCAAAAACAGCTATTGCCTCATAGTCCAGACCATCATTTAAGCCTGTGTTTCTCTTGCATCTATTGCTCATAAGAGGATGCACTTCCTATCACAGTATCACAGTCTTACATATGAACTTTTTATTAAGTACTATTTCATAAAATTGGAGATAGTGCCATGGGCATGGCTCTTGCCTTACATGTGGTTGGCTCTGATTTGGTCTCCGGCACTACATATGGTCCCCTGAGCACTGCCAGGAGGAGTACTTGAGCATAGAGCCAGGAGAAAGCTCTGAGCACTACTGAGTGAGGCCCCCAAACAAAAAAGATTATTATTATCGTTAGTGTTATTATTACTACTTTGACGTGGGCTGGATGGTTTTGGGCTTTTTGGCTACACTGGGTGGTGCTTAGGTACTACTTTTTACTCTGTGCTCAGGGGTTAATCCTGGTGAGGCTTGGGGGATCATGTGGTGCTGGGATTGAACCATGTGGTGCTTGGTCACGTGCAAGGCAAGTGCTTTAAACCCTTGGGCTATCTCCTGGCCCTTGTTTTGGGCGACTCAGAGAACTGTATGGTGCTGGGGATTGAACCAAGCCCCCTGCACAGAAAACATGAACCTCAGCCTCTGAACCATCCCCCTGGCCAGATCATTTGTTTGTTTGTTTGTTTTGTTTTTTTGTTTTTAAATTTTGTATCCTGATTGCATTGTCCTGATAATTTTGACCTTGTTTTCTTAAATTTTTTAAAGTGATATGCTCTCTGGCCAGATTTTTTTTTTTTTATCTTGATTGCATTGTCCTGATAATTTTTTTTTTTTTTGCTTTTTGGGCCACACCCAGCGATGCACAGGGGTTACTCCTGGCTCTATACTCAGGAGTTACTCCTGGCGGTGCTCAGGGGACCATATGGGATGCTGGGAATCGAACCCGGGTCGGCCGCATGCAAGGCAAATGCCCTACCCGCTGTGGTATCTCTCCAGCCCTGTCCTGATAATTTTGATCTTGTTTTCTTAATCTTTTTAAAAAGTGATGTGCTCTAATTTGGATGTTTTGAAGCTATTTCCATGAAAATACCTTGTGCTTCAGATCCTTTTTTAAGAAGCAATTTCTAGAAGTGGACTTCCTCTATCCAATGCCTCAGTACAGGTAGTTTGGGGCACTGCTGCCTACCTGAGCCCAATAGGCGTCTCTGCTGCCCTTCACCATGACCTCAGAGGGTGAGAGACCCTGTTGGTTTTTGCTTTATCAGCTCTTCCTGGGTTTAGTTCTTTGTCTCTCTCTTCTATTTCTTTCCCCTGTCACCTTCTTCTCTAAGCTTCTGCTCTGATATGTTCCAGCTTCCTCTTCTCTCTGCTACCATGACGTGGAAACCTCCACTGCTCTGTTCTTTTTCTTCTTTACAGATGACAGGCTGTCTTGGTGCCTGCTGCACATCTGCAGGCTGAGATGCTCTCCTTACCCATTTCCTCCCACTCAAGCCCTGGAGGGCAAGAGAGGCCCAGGGGATGCCTGGCCCTGGGCGTGGCAGGAGGGAGGAAATTGGCTTCATAGTCATGGGGCCCACAGACATACTTTGCCCGTTACCAGCCTGCTGCCCTCCTTCCTGTTTGTACTATGAATTAGATGCACGTGCTGCAGAGACCGGAGAAGCAAGCGTCCCTCTGCCTCTAGAAGTCTCTTTGGTACCTAAAATTATGGCACTTAGAACTGACAGGGCCTTAGAGACTACTTAGTCTAGTCCCTGTACCTCACAGATGAGAAGATCGGGTGGCACAGAGAAGGACAGGGTCTTCCTCCCTGTAATTGCTTCCTCTCACTGCCAGAAAGCATGTGGGAAGAGTCTCACCTGCCCTCCCTCACCAACCTGACAAAGTCACTTCTCTCTTTAAGCCTTCCTTAAACCCTAGTCACAGGTGGACAGGAAACACCTTTCCTAGGAACGTTCCCTGGCACAGGTGGCTTGTTGAAAATGACGCGGTATTCACCTCTTCTAGAGTGGGATGCTGGGGACCAAGAGGACATTTGCTGAACACTCAAATAGACAAAGGGAAGTTGCACAGCCTAGTAGCTGAGAGCCCAAACCTGGAGACCAGATGCCAGAGTTCGACCCCCTGAGCAGAGGCTCAGCAAGGAAAAGTGTGGGAAAGCAAAAGGCAGATGCCTGTATGTTCGTTGACTTACTAGAAGTGTGACCCTGGGCAAGTTGGTTCTCTGTTTCTTCATTTTCTTACCTAGAAAATGAGAATAATACGAATATCTGAGCCAACAAGTGAAAAGCACTTGGTTGTGTGTACTTAGTAAGTGTGTGCTATAAAAGTGCCAAAAGAAAGACAAATGAGGAACCAAATAGGTGATTTAGGCAGCTCCAGAGAGCAGAGAACCAGGATGCAGAGATGCCTAAAGGATATATTCTGAGGAAATGAGTTTTCAACTGGTCTAGAAAAGGTAAAATGTTTCTCTGTGCCAAAACTTTTTTTTTATGGGGGAGGGAGCACACCTCATTGTGCTCAGGGCTTATTCCTGGATCATTCCTGGGAGTGTTCAGGTGACTACATGTGAAATGCATGCAAGGAAAATAAGCAAGCATCTTATCCCCTGCACTGTCTCCCTAGGCCCATATCCCAAAACCTGTATTTGATTTGCTACAGAGATTTTGGGAGAACGTTATGGCTGATTCTTGTCAGCTAAAATCCTCTTTTCTAGATTTTGGTTCTTATGAACAGCGCTGCGATGAGCACGGGGGTCCTCTAATGTGAGGTACAAGGAAAGCTAGTAAGGGAATAATAAGTGGCGAACAGCAACAGAACCTGAGGACTATTCATTCTATAGAACTGAGCTTATGAAGCGGGTGAAGGGGCTTAGATAATAGTGGAAGGAACTGGACAGTTGGTGGAGGGTTGAAATATTATGTACACAAAATCTTAACATTAACAATAGTGTTATTTGTTGCACAGTGACTAAAATAACATTGAAAAATAACATGTTTTAAAATAACATTTAAAGTTCTTTTTTACATTTATGTAATGTAGGTTGTGGCTTTCTTCAGGGTTCAGCTCTCATGGGACCTTCCGTGAATCATTAAGCCGTTCCTTTGGGCTTTGGGCTTCCTCTCTGGGGAGTGAGGATAAGGTTTGCTCTTCATTGCACCCAGAAAGGCCTCGGCACATTTGGGAGGTGGCAGTGGTGCTGGAACTTCTCCTCTCCCTTCCTCTTCACAGAAGCAAAGTGAGGAAGGACAGGGTGGCGAGGACACTGCATAGTCCCTGAGTCTGGGCTGATGGAGGCACACTGGGTCAGAGAGTGGATCCTTCACTCTGCACGTTTGCTTTTTCATGAAATGTGAGCGGCCCTTTTCTCATCCGCTCACTTACTGAGCTGATTTTAAGAATCAGCATGCTGGCCTCCCTCTGGAGAGATCCTGAGGAGAGAGCTAGTTGTGAGAACAGGGTGTGTGTGTGTGTGTGTGTGTGTGTGTGTGTGTGTGTGTGTGTGTGTGTGTGTTGGGGGGAATGGGGGAGGGTGGTGCTGACCCTACTTCAGTTCTTCTCCCCACACTGGTCACTCAGGCCATTCACCATTGAGACTGACCCCTATTCTCTCTCTGCTAGCCGAGATGCCACGTCAGTTCCCCAAACTGAACATCTCTGAGGTGGATGAGCAAGTTCGGCTCCTGGCGGAGAAGGTATTTGCTAAAGTACTTCGAGAAGAGGACAGCAAAGATGCACTCTCGCTCTTCACTGTCCCCGAGGACTGCCCCATCGGCCAGAAGGAGGCCAAGGAGAGGGAGCTGCAGAAGGAGCTGGCCGAGCAGAAGTCACTGGAGACTGCCAAAAGGTTTGTTCCCAGGACTCAGCTCTTGTATGGAGTGGGGTGGGGACCCAGCAGGTAGCACATCCCTCTCCCTTCATGGAAAGTGGCCTGACCCTGTGAGTGGAGAGGGTTTTTTAATCACGATCACTCAATTCATTGAAGGATACGCCAGGGCTTTTGATTGAAAAGATCACAACCACTTGCTCATTGTTGCTTGCTTAAAAAGCTGTCACAGGGTGGAGTGGGGAGGAAGGTCTGCCTCCCAGGACACTGTATATGTCTCACCTTCAAGCATGGTGAAATTCTGAGCCCTCTCTGAGACCTGGTCAGTCACCTGGTCCATCCAATGGGACCTCCTTATTTTTAGGGGTGAACCCTTCTCTTTCTTGGTAGGATGGACTTTCAGTCTTTGCTTTGGGACTGGTGTCCAGAGACAGAGCTCCACCAGGCAAATGCTTTTCTTTCTTGGAAGATTTATGCGGGGTATAGGTGCAAATGGCCAGTTCTAAGTGCCAGGCATGTGCTGGGTGAGGTGTGGTGGCCACAGGCCAGGAACATGGTCTTCTTTGGAGGCTAAAGAAACTCGACCCAAGAGGCTGAATTTATGAACTAAGTGGTCTGTAAAGTCTTCTGTGTGTCTCAGAAAACAAAGGTTTTAGTTCCTTAAATAGGAGAAGAAAAGGATACTGGAATTTTTGTTGTTGTTGTTATCAGGAAAAAAAAAGTTTCTGAGGCCAATTTGCATGCCAGAGTGGGTTGGGGCCTGTCATCTGCAGATGGAGATTGTTCTCTTATCAATGTAAGGCTCTCAGCAAAAAGGGAGTCTTCTTGCTCCAAGTCTGAAGAGCTCTCTGTGGTTTCCAGAACTTCCTCTGCAGACTCTTCTCTGAATGTTTTGTTCCATCCCAACGTACTGAGTTGTGGTGGTCTCCGTTGGTGTACCCAGCCAACCCTTTTGACTGGAAGTCCTTTAGTTTTTTGGTTTTTGGGGGCCACCCTTGGGGCACTTAGGGCTATCTCCTGGCTATGTGCTCAGGGATCTTGCCTGAGGGATGTTCAGGAGCCATATGTTGTGCTAGGGGTTGAACCCAGGTCAGCCACAAGCAAGGCAAGTGCCTTATCCCTTATACTCTGTATCTCTGCAGTTCTTTTTAATTATTATTTTTTTCTCTTTGGGTCACACATGGCAGTGCTTAGGGCTTACTCTGGATTCTGTGCTCAGGGACCACTCCTCAGGTCCTGAGGTAGGACAATGTGGGGTGCTTTGGAATGTGTGCGAGGCAAGTGACTTTACCTATACTGTCTCCCTGATCCCTGGAATTCAAATTCTTTCTTTTTTTTCTTTTGGGCCACACCTTGTGATTCAGTCCTGGCTCTGCACTTAGGAATTACTCCTGGCGGTGCTCAGGGGACCAGATGAGACGCTGGGAATCGAATCCAGATCAGCAGCGTGCAAGGCAAACACCCTACCCGTCTGTCTCTCTCTGGGTCCTTGCACACCAGCTTAGTTGGGGAAGTGATGGAGGGGGCTGAGGTAAGAAGATGAGTTGCTTCACCACCAGCGCTGACAGGCTGCCTGGTGGACACAGATCCCTGGGCCAGTGTTTGGCTGCTGGCTGCCCCTGACTGAGTGGATAAGGAAAGTTCCCTCAGGGCCTAGTTTCTTCCTTGTTTGTAAGCAGGGGTGGGGACCTTGTCTACCTTCAGGGATATAATGAAGGATAAGTGAGGAATGCAAGGCCTAGGACAGTACTTCAGTCAGCACAAGCTCCCCGGGGAACCATGCTGTGACATTTCCTGCTGTGGAGTGTGACATTTCCTGCTGTGGAGATGGCAACACGAGTGAGTGCTGGACTCTGCAGTTCCCAGTCAGGCTTATCAAGTGGTCATTCTAATGAGTGCAGTTTTGCAGATTAGGAAATCAAGGTTCAGAGAAGTAAAATGAACTTGTACAAGCGTGAATGGCAAGTATGTGACAGAGCAGAAACTAACACCCACTTTTTCCCTTCCTCCCAAGCGGTGTTCAGGAGGTCCAGGTGTGCCACTAGCTGTTCTTGGCTAGCAGTTCAGTGCAAGAGCCTGAGGACACAGGGCTGCTTGGGTACTGTGGTGCTGGGGATACCCAGAACATCCTGGTGGTGCTGGGGGCCTTCAGGTACTCACCCGGCAATACTTGGGGAACCACATGGTGTCAAGAATTGAACTTAGGTCAAGTGCGTGCAAGGCATCTACCTTAACTAATGTACTATCTCTTGGCCCTGATAGACATCTTTTGCAAGTAGAACACCACTTTTTCCCCCCTGGTTTTTTCGGCTGGAGCGATAGCATAGCGGGTAGAGTGTTTGCCTTGCACGCAGCTGACCCGGTTTTGATTCCTCCGTCCCTCTCGGAGAGCCTGGCAAGCTACCGAGAGTATCCTGCCCACACAGCAGAGCCTGGCAAGCTCCCTGTGGTGTATTTGATATGCCAAAAACAGTAACAACAAGTCTCACAATGGAGACGTTACTGGTGCCCACTCTAGCAAATCGATGAACAACGGGAGGACAGTGACACAGGGTTACATACTCTGTATTGTTCAGGGCTACTCTTAGTGTGGTGCTGGGGGCTGAGGGCAGAGTGCTCCCAGAGGTGCTCCCAGGAGCATGTGGTGCTGAGGGAGTGAACCTATGCGTCAACATCCACTCTGACCCTTTGAGCTATCTCCCTCGCCCCAGAAGAACCTCACTTTATCTTTTTTTGGTGTGGGGGAGGGAGCCCACACCTGACTGCGTTCAGGGCTTCCTTCTAGCTCTGTGCTCAGGAATCACTTCTGGCAGAACTCTTGGGACCATATGGGGTACCAGGGGTTGGACCTGGGTTGGCTATGCACAAGGCAAGTGCCCGAGCCACTGTTCTGTCGCTCCGGTCCCCTGAAGAACATTACTTTTAAATCTTGAGACTAACCCTTCCTCAGCCCGGGACAGAGCTTAAGATTCCTGCATCTGTGGAAGCAGGAGGGATGCAGGGTGTGGCTCCCCAGGATGGAAGTGCTCCCTCCTGAATGATGTAGGACCAAAGGATGGCCTGATCCCTATCACTCTCAGGCAACCAGTGAACCTCCCCAAAACTGAGCACCCCACTTTTTTCTTTCTGTTTCATTGCTCATTAGGGGGACCTTCAGTCAAATATCCAGGCGTGGACAGTTTCTTGGGATTGCCCTGTGAAGAGGAAGGGGGCTCCCAGCCTATCTCCGGCTCCTCCCTTACCTTCTGGAGTATAAGGCTGACAGGGACCCTCCCCCCAGGTGCCCACGCTCTGGAGGCTGTAGCAGATCTCCATGGATGGGGTCTCCTGTCTGTGAGTTTGTGTTTCAAACTGGATCTTGAGATGCAGCTTCCAGGTTTTTTTTTTTTTTTGAAAATAACTTTCTGATCTTGGCTCTGATAAGTTGGTATATTTTTGGTTCTTGATGAAGGCCTCAGTGTATATGTGTCTAATTTAATTTTATTTTCCTATTTACTTACCTTTGGCTTGAAATATTATGGGACTTCAGGGATTTAGCTTCATGCCTGTTTGTGGTGTGATATTAAACTTAACTACCTGGAAAATCCCAGGCCCCTACCACCACAGCAGGATCCTCTGCTCATTCTGACCACTTCCTTATTCCCCGTCACTCTGGTCCCCACTCAACATTCACCCGTCTAGAATTGAGTTTTGTTGTTTCTTGCAACTTTGTTCAATGCATATTCCACATATTAGTGCAACCATCCAATAATTGTCTTTCACTTCCTTACTTATTTCACATAGCAAAATCACCTCATGATACATCTATTTTGTCCTCCAAAGGTTTACTTACCATTTCATCTTTTTTTTTTTTTTTTTTTTTTGCCACACAAGGCTGCACTCAGGGGCTACTCCCGGCTAAGTACTTGGGACTCATTCCTGACACTGACAATGTTTAGGGGACCATGTGGTGCTGGTGATAAAACCTGAGCCTCCTGCATGCAAAGCATATACTTAGCCCTTTGAATTTTCTCCTTGGCTCATGATTTTATCCTTTTTAACGACAGAATGATACTCCATAACAAAACGAACAAACACTGTCCTCCCGTTGTTCATCGATTTGCTCGAGCGGACTCAGTAACATTTCCATTTTGAGCCTTGCTGTTACTGTGTTTGGCATATTGAATACGTCATGGGTAGCTTGCCAGGCTTTGCCATGCAGGTGAGATACTCTTGGTGGCTTGCCGGACTCTCTGAGAGGGGCGGAGGAATCAAACCCAGCTAGGCTGAGTTGGCTGCGCGCAAGGCAAATGCCCTACCGCTGTATTATCGCTCCAGCCATAAAAGATATCTATTTATATATTTAATATATGTATAGCTTTCTTAGCCAGAATTGATGGAATAGTTGAATTCATATTTCATATTTTGACTGATAATAATGTGCTATAATAATATATTATAATTTATATACAATATAAGTGTAAACATAAAAACACCAGTTTGAATTAATACCTTTTTGTACTTTGGATAAGTTTAGTGTTGCTGATCCTATGAAATTCGCATTTTTGTAGTTTTTTAAAAAATTTTCCCCCTTCCCTAATCTTTCCCTCCCCTTCTCTCCTCTCCTCTCCCCTTCCCTTCCCTTCCCTTCCCTTCCCTTCCCTTCCCTTCCCTTCCCTTCCCTTCCCTTCCCTTCCCTTCCCTTCCCTCCCCTCCCTACTTTTCCCTACCCTTCCTTATTGTTTCTGTGATCACCAGTGGTCACATATGCTTGGTTGTAGTGTTCCAGAGCTCACACACTTGATTATGACACTGAACGATCCCAGATAGCAGTTGGAGTCGCTCCTGGCCTGTGGAGTGATACTGGGGGTTGAACTCACAGCTTCATCAGCCTCACACGCACAGAGCAGCCACCCTACTGCCAGCCATCCCTAGGCCCTGGGGTTCACTTGGAATCTCATCCTATTTCTTGACTTTTACTTACATCACAGAAGTGCATAGTTGAAATTTAGTCACCAATGATGACAACCTGCAAAGCCTCT